CCTAGGTGGATCCGGTGTTACTGGAGCAGCGGAACCTCTAAGAAAATCAAGCCCCGAGCGTGGATCCGTGGCTTTCGGCGGTAACGGTGGCTCATCTGAGCCAGCATGAGGCGTGTCCTTGTCACCCTGCTGGCCTTCCATGGCGGGGAGAAGCTAGAGATGGGGAGAGAGAGAAACGGAGAAATGAATTGAAAAAAGGGAACATAACAGCAGCACCAACAAGACCCTGGCTATGGGAGGGGGGAACCAAGAGATGGAGGGAGAAGGTGGGGTCAGCAAGAATCCACCGCGTCGCCACGAAATTGATGGCGCGGTGGTCGAAACAACGAGCCGTCATTGTATTCGGCCTTTCATGCAGGCCGAATACATTGAACGACTGCTTCACTGCCAGCGACGACAGCCACTAAGTGTCTCCCTCCAATGAGGGACACGTATTGTGATTTGCGCGGTGCGCGTGGCAGTAAATATGATGATTCTAGGTGCGCTGTCAAATTTGACAGCTGTGCTGTACATCGATGCTGTACAAAGGACAGTTGTGTTCTGTGTCGGTTCTTGTCACTAGTGCGCGTGAAACGAAGCCCCCACATGGTTAGGTGCGAAATCATAATTACCCAAATGGGGGGGTATCGGAACGAAGCTTCTACGAAGCTTCGTTCAGATAACATGACTTTCAGGGTCCACAGGTCGCGTACTCTGTATTGACAGGGTCCATGAAAACACTACACTGAGAGTGTATTGAGAATTTCAGGCTCCGCTAAATCAATGCTCTGAATGGATCAGGGACCAAAATGTGAAAAACCTGATTTCACAGGGATCACAAGGTGAGAAGCCTGAAATCACCCTGAAATCAGGGTAATTACCCTGATAAAATCAGCCTTGGTCATAACCTTAGATGTTATGATGAGCAATTTTTGTGGAAGCGGAACGACCAGCTAGAAAAAAATAATGGTGTGCTTTAATTATTGCTGTGCTTGCACATGTTCAAGAAATTGTACTAAATTCACTAATAATGTTCTCCAAAAACCTTGGAGGGGTTTCAGGGTGCATACGTGTATCAGTGCCATCTGCTGGAAGCTGCTGATGGTGTGTGTATGGATGATTAGTTCAACGATTTAATTAAGTATAATGTGGAGTGTTGAGTGTCAATTGATCTCCCGCAAACCAGGGCAGTATGTGTTGAGGTTTTCATTTCCTTCTCATTTCGTTTCATCCGGCAGTACGTGATGACAGCGTGAAACGCCGGCTGCTGAAATCTTCCCGTCAGCGAGACGAGAGTACGGTTGACTCGTTTCTTCTTATCGTTGAAACGGCAGTTCGGCTGTCCATGTGGCTGCAGCTTCTTGGTCAGACACTCCTCTTGACTGCCGAGAAATTTCGAAATTCGAGCACCTTCGCAATGAGCGACGCGCTAAATTGGCGACGATAGCAGGGTACAACAAATTGGTGCAGCTGGCTTCACCAACTCATTCCAATTTCAACACACAAAAGTAGACAAACACTTACAGACATCTGGACTCTACTTTCATCGCTAAGAAGGTATTTTTCCCATCACGCTAGCGGAAACAAAGCTATGGTACACTCATTTCCGCTCCCGCAGAACAGGCTCCGTCGGCGTAACCTGAGCGCGGCGCTTCTCCAACTCTCGTTCGTCCTGCTTTCGTCTCTCCACGCCGCGTTGGCCCTTCGCTTCTCCGCGGGGCTCCGCACAAACAAGATGGGCGGGAAAATGCGCGGATGGGTGCACCGCGGACGGTTGATCTGTAAGAAGCACAGACACGGTGGCGGAAAGGGCGGAAACGGGAAGGGTGGAACTGGGGGCGGCGCTGGCAGAGGGACGGGTAGCGGTGGCGGAACTGGTGGTGGCGGAATGGGCGGTGGCGGATTGGGCGACGGAGGAAAAGAAGGCGGCGGAAGCATGATGGGCGGCAGAGAAATAGGTGGCGGAGGAGATGGAGGGGGAATGGGCGGATTTGGGCCGTCCCCTCCCGGATCAGAAGCAGGTATCATCACGAAAGGGAACTTAAGATTTTTGGCATCCGAAGGTCTTTTTGCGAAAATTTTGCGGAAGTATAAAAAAAACGACCCGAAATCGCAACTTTCCAGACACAATCTGCGAAAGCGAAGACCAGCGCAAAAAAGTCACTCCAAAGTGACGTGAACACAGCGCCCTAGGTTTCGCACGGTCAAGAAAGATTCTGAAAGGTGATGCGGAGTGGCATTGTAAAAGTGTGCAGATGTGCGTGTTAGAGACTAAGGACGGAGTCTATGAAGATTAGGGGCTGAAATATCTCAAAATCGTCAACTACAATTCTGGACAGAAAAGTCGTCGTCACAAGAAACGTCATCGACGATTAACGCACAATTAGAATTCTCTCAAACTCGAGTTGTAGCCCTTGACCGTGGTTATCTTTCTCAATTTGAATAGTATCAAAATATGGAGTATAACTCGAGTTATGAATTTCGGCGCACTAGGGGGTATGCTGCCATAGAAAACGTAACTCAATCACAATTATCTCACAAGTTCACACAAGAAAGTTGGAGTGGCAATTGAACCAGGTAGGAGGGGATGAGGAGGACGAGAGGGAAGGTCCCAAGGGAGTCCCCAACCAAGGAAACCCCATACCACACAATTCCCCTCTCTATAGGCACCCCAACTTTGACATATGTCACTTTCCTAACTCATGCCATCCACCTCACCCAACTTGGCCACACTTGCCAACCTGGTTTGGCTTCTCCCAACCACTTGGCATCATCTACAGTGATGGTCACGAATTTCCCAACCCCCAAAAGTCTGTACCCCATATTGAGTCAACCCGCAAATTCCCATAGTCGCCGCATCTCAACCAAAACTTCGAACGATCATATCTTTCTCGTTCTTGCTCCGATCAAGGCGATTCTCGGTTCGTCGGGAAGCTCTTGAGCAGAGGAGTCACTTCAGATATCTGCTCAAGCCAAATAACATTCACACACACTCAGAAAATCCAAACAACACCAAACACAAATTCTTGCACACGCTCACACCACGCATGCAACACACGAACATATGATGGGAGGCAGACAGACGTGAATGAAAATGATAGCATCACATAACAGTGCGAAGATCACGAAAGTGTAGACACTCACGAAGGCAAGCGGAGTTGAAAATGTGGATACAACACTTCCGTGTTTTTCCCAAAACTGACCCTGAGTGACGTGTGAAGCCAAACATTCTTTTACAACCAATCACGACCCTTCGTTATCTACACGTCATCACACCAACACATCACAACCAAACCCTACCATCGCGAATATGCCCACCCCAAAATTCTACCCCGTACACTTGGTAGACTTCTGTGCTGCTATTGGTCAGCGCATTTTCACATCGAACGCACAGCAAGCTCACGATACTTACAGTGTCTCTTCACTCTAGTTCCTTAGTCTTGCTCTATTCTGAATGCACCAGCCTCGACTCTTCCACTTTTGCCTGCTATTCCCTGAGCGTCTGTCTGAGACCGCCATTAGCGGGACCACGGACCCTAACTAAGTTAAATAAGGGTTTACGGTAACCTCACGTTGACAAACTTAGGCGCTAAAGTTAACCACGCTCTCGCTCGCTTTAACGTCCTCTTTTCCATGTGTCTTCCGCCCCGCCTTTTTTTTTCCCCAATTGCGCCAACAGGTAGTGACGGAAAATCTCCGTCTAGCAGCCTGGGGACGACGGATAATCGTGGCATCAGACAGATTGCGTGGCGCATCTTCCGCTATGGCTTTGGATGTCGTCCTTGCGCCGCGCCATCAGCGTCGGCTTCATGGTGAGTGGCGCCATCACCATCGCGCTGCAGCAGCTGCGCGGGCTGCTGTGGTGCACATCGTTCACGCAGTGCACGAACATCTTCACGCAGCAGCCAAGGTTTGATACACTTGTAATGTTTCATGATGTCTTTTCTTTGTCGTTCTCTTTTCACACCCAAGATTTTTCAGGTTGTTAATCTCAATGTAACATTTCATTGCTTCGTTTTGTGTGTATCTACTGTCGTTGCGATGTATTCAGTTTTGGGCCTTGCGTTCTGTGTTTGCCTAACCGTCCTCAATTGTACCGCAGAATTTGGCTATGCTAAGGATAAGTATTTGTCGTGGTGTTTAGCAAAATCTCCTATAAAACTAACCCCCCGGGAGCAATCTTCGGCGAGATGCATAACATCACGCTGTGTTTGCATGTGTTGCAGGCCGTACCTTTTCTTGCAAGTTTACTGTCAACCTCAAGCGCAATATGTTTATTTTTTCCCCATTATAGCATACTCGAGAATTACGAAACCGAATGGTGAGTGGCAGAAAGTTGACATTTTTCGCTTGTTCACCATGTTTTTATTTTCTTTGTTCTTGCATGTTAAATTCGTTTCCTAACTCTACAGAGTTTGCAACTTGTTAGCTGTGTATAGGCGTAGTAATTGTATTAAGGTTGGGTAGAGAAGCCGTTCTACACACTGCAGTGCATTACAAGTTAGGCGTAGGTGTACAAACTAAGTGAGTGTATGCGTTGTGAATAATATTTGAAAAATGAAGAGATACACACATTATAGTGCACACATTATAGGGTTTTTTGCTGTAATTGCCAGCCGATCGTACGCTGTTACTGTACACCGATGTCACACTCTGATTGGTCCACATGGCAGGATCACGTGTGTCAAGCAGATTCGCATCCGGCGGTTAACGTTAGAGTACGATAACCGCCACGTCAGCACGTTGGAGTTTCATCTTGAGTACATCGTATGCCACGTGGCGTTGTCGTGACACTTTCGCACAGGTTGCTCAAAATTGACGGAAAAGTTTCTTTACTGTATAATTGGTCAGTTGAGTCAATGTGTACAGTTAGTGACGGAAGAGTGACGGAAAAGTTGCTTCGCAAGTCACGTTCGGTACACAGATTTAGAACCTTGATATTTTTTTTGGCGTAAAAAAAATATCTTGAAAGTTGCAGCAGCGTAACTTTTACGTTTCTTTTCGACCTGCCCTTATTCGCGATGGCCGGCAGAGGAACGGGTGGCGGTGGCGGATTGGGCGGTGGCGGAACGGGCGGTGGCAGAACGGGAGGAGGCGGAATGGGTGGTGGCGGGATGGGAGGTGGCGGAACAGGCGGTGGCAGAAAAGGAGGCGGCGGAAGCATGATGGGTGGCGGCGAAATAGGTGGCCGAGGAGATGGAGGAATGGGCGGATTTGGGCCGTCCGCTCCCGGATCAGAAGCAGGCATGGGAGATATGGGTGATGGCATGGGTGCCCGTGCTCCCGGATCAGAAGCAGGCATGGGAGATATGGATGATGGCATGGGTGCCCTGCTCCCGGATCAGAAGCAAGCATGGGAGATATGGATGATGGTATGGGTGCCCCTGCTCCCGGATCAGAAGCAGGCATGGGTCGTAAAGGGGCATGGGCGGCGGCGGAACGGGCGGCGGAGGAACGGGCGGCGGAGGAAAGGGCGGCAGAGGAACGGGCAGCGGAGGAATGGGCGGCGGAGGAACGGGCGGCGGAGGAATGGGCGGCGGAGGAATGGGCGGCGTAGGAACGGGCGGCGATGGAATGGGCGGCGGAGGAGCAAGCGGCGGTGGAACGGGCGGCGGAGGAACGGGCGGTGTAGGAACGGGCCGCGAAAGAATGGGCGGCGGTGGAACGTGCGGTGTAGGAACGGGTGGCGATGGATCGGGTGGCGGAGGAGCAGGCTGTCAGAGGTCCACTGGTGATCCCCGATTGATCCTAGGGAAGGGTTACAGGCTCGTTGTCCTGGGGGGTTATGGGTGCACTGACCCGATACTTAACAAGCCCTTTTATCCCAATGGTCTAGTGGTTGGGATTCTGACACGGGCGGCGGTGGAACGGGCGGCGGTGGAACGGGTGGCGATGGAATGGGCGGCGGAGGAACGGGCGGTGGAGGAACGGGCGGCGGAGGAACGGGCAGTGGAGGAACGGGCGGCGGTGGAACGGGCGGTGGAGGAACGGGCGGTGTAGGAACGGGCGGCGGTGGAACGGGCGGTGGAGGAACGGGCGGTGCAGGAACTGGCGGCGGTGGAATGGGCGGCGGATGAACGGTCGGCGGAGGAACGTGCAGTGGTGGAACGGCTGGCGGTGGAACAGGCAGCAGTGGAACGGGCGGCGGAGGAACGGGCGGCAGTGGAACGGGCGGCAGTGGAACGGGCAGTGGTGGAACGGGCAGCGGAGGAATGGGCGGCAGAGGAACGGGCGGCGGTGGAACGGGCGGCGGAGGTGGTATGACAAGAGGCGGTAAGGGCGGAGCAGGGTCTACATGAGAAGGTACAGACATGAGTCCTGGGGAGATGGCTGCACTTAAATGGCATTCTCCAGGAGTATGGATTATGCATTGTTGTCATCCCAAGCGTGTGATTGGCTTAGGAAGCATGGATTGTTGTGGAGACTGCACTCACTGTCCCCAGTTTCATACATGGTACCTGGTAGATGATAGAAAATCACAGCTACGGTACTTGTTCTCTTGTACGTAGCCAGTTTTTACGGTATACATGCTCCATTTTTGTAATTGTTGATGAAGCACAGCTGACAGCAGGGGTGGATATCATCCAAGTGAATAAAATGGAATTGATGGAATGGAGCGAGCGTGTGAGGTGAACGGAACGGAACCTTACAAAAGCCACACATTCCCCTCACACGCTCGCTCCACTCCACTCCACTCCACGCAAGCACGACCTTTTTCAAAAGCACCTTGTCCGGACCGGAGGAGAGGAAATCTCCATTACCGTAACTTCCAAACAATTCTATTTAAAGATTCATGATTGGCTCCTCGGATTAGTTCCCTGCCCACGCTCCCTGCCCAAACTCCCTACCCGAACTCCCTGCCCCTGCTCCCTGCCCCTGCTCCTTTCCCCTTTGCCATTTTATCTCACCATCTGCCTTGCACTGCCTTTGCTCCTCAACTTCCAACTCTTCACAAATATATCTCCCCTCCCCCTCCTCGCCCTCCTCCCCCCTCCTCTCTTCCTCGGCATCCTTCTCTCCTCCCCCCTCCTCTCTTCCTCGGCATCCTTCTCTCCTCCCCCCTCCTCTCTTCCTCTGCCTCCTTCTCTCCTCCCCCCTCCTCTCTTCCTCTGCCTCCTTCTCTCCTCCCCCATCCTCTCTTCCTCTGCCTCCTCTCCTCCCCCATCCTCTCTTCCTCTGTCTCCTTCTCTCCTCCCCCCTCCTCTCTTCCTCTGCCTCCTTCTCTCCTCCCCCCCTCGTTTCTTCCTCTGCCTCCTTCTCTCCTCCCCCCTCGTTTCTTCCTCTGCCTCCTTCTCTCCTCCCCACACCTCTCCTCCCTCCTCCTAACCTTTTTCCACTCCTCTCTCCCCATCTCTCTCCTCACCTCTTTCCTCCTCTCCTCCTCCCTCAACTCCTCCTCAATCTTTCCCGCCTCCCTACTATCCTCCTCCTCTCCTCCTCTCCTCCTCTCCTCCTATCCTCACTCATTTCCTCCTCCTGCCTCGCAGCACTGCCCATTGGTGCTGCCAATCACTCCCTCAACTCATCCACCTGCTGCTCCTCCCTCTCCCTCACCACCTCACCAGCCACTGCTCCCTCTCCATCCTTGATATTCATCCACTCGCTTTCCCAGCTCACTCCATTCCACTGCTCTCCCCTTCTCAGCCTCCTCCGCCTCTTTCATTGCTGCTGCCAGCTGAGGTGTGCAAACGTGAGAGGGGAAGGTGATCAAGCCATGCGCATACAGCCCCAAGGGGATACAAGGGATCAAGCAAGAACGTACAGTATGCTGTTTACAAGAGGCGTCAGAGAATCAGCAGCTGGGGAGGCAGGTGGGGAGGAAGGTGGGGAGGCAGGTGAAGAGGCGGGTGGGGAGGCAGGTGGGGAGGCAGGTGGGGAGGCAGGTGGGGAGGCACAGCCTGATGGGTTTCAAAGGAGCACGTAGAGTCTAAAAGCCAGTTACAATGCAAGTCATTCTCACATGGCACTATGAAGCCGAGAGAAGATCCCCATTGTCTGTGGCATGGTGGGGCCCGAGACGAGAGGGGAGCAGGGATGCGGGAGAAGGGGTTGGATGAGCGGCGACAGAGATGCAGGAATGGGAATGCAGGTCATTCTCCAATGGCGCTATGAAGACAAGGGAAGATCCCAAGGGTCTATGGCACGGTGGGGGGAAGGGCGACGGGCATGAGGGAGAGAGGAACTGGACGAGGGTCTGCAAAGGCAAAGGAAGGTGGGGTGAGTAGAGAGGGCTGGTTTGAAGGAGCTTTTGGGAGTGTTGAGTGAATTAGGGTGATGTTTGTGCTTCTTGGAGAGGATTGAACTGAGGCGAGCCAAGCGCACTCACGACAAAAGAGTCAAGCGAGAGACGAAGTGGAGAAGAATTAGAAACCACTTCATAACATGAATTAACCAATTTGCAAGTCAGTAGCGCGATTAAGGAGTCATGGCACAGTCATGACACCACGAAGGGCATACCAGGGAAGACACGGCTGCTCTCTTCAAGTTCATGCGTTAGGCTCCCATGGCGGAGCCCTGTTGCTGCACTCACGCCCCCACAGATGTACGCTTTCGCTGCACCCATGGCCTCACTTGTGGTGGACACATGTCCATCCACTAGTGCAGCCATAGGAGAGGACAGTACTGTGTAAAGCGCGTTCACACACCACACACAATACGCACACACACACACACACACACACACACACGCACACACACGCACGCACGCAATAATGAATTGTGAGCACAGCGTGATGTGTGAAGCATTGCTAGCTTGTATTCTGACATGCATGCTGCATGAAGTGAGAGGTGTCGCTTGTTGCTCACAGTCCGAAGCAGTGAGCACTGATGTGGGTTGGACCATGCAGGATAGAAGGTGCTGCTGATGGGGTGTAATGGTCATATGATCACATCACTTGTCCCCATCATGTCCCCACCATGTGTCATAGGCCCGTAACACATCTCCGTGCAACAAGTCAAACCCCATGTATGCCTCACAGCACATGTCATGCATGGCTTGTGCGTTAGCATGGAGCACACGCACGGAGTGGCATCATGCATCATGAATGGCAGACCCTCCACACCGCATCATGCGTCATGCATGGCAGACTGAACTGGACAAACATAGAGCTCACACAAACCAATCGAGGCCGAGAAAGCGAATGAAATAGCATGCGCGATTTCCAATGAGGGTTGAGAATCAGCCACACACACGCCTGGCGTGTAAGATCGCTGCTGTCATGTGAACCACTTCTTAGCAGCAGCAGCAGCCGCGATACAGTCACAACAGTAAGAACCACTGCCAGTAGCAGCCCTGCCCCCGCCACACCCACTCCAGCCACTCCGCATTGAGCAGGAAAAAATCAGGAGGGAGTATCGGCCTGGGAGCAGCAAGGTTGGAGCGGCACCAGGTGGTGAGAGCCGAGGGGGAGGCGCGGGCTCCGCGCTTATGTCGGAGTAAGTCGGACTTAGCCACCCCCCTGGCGGAGGGCGCAGCTGCGCGTGGGGAGGCTGCGCTTGGCTGGGGCAGCTGGGGGAGTGGAAGGTGGTTAGGTTGGGTAGGGTGGCTAGGGCATGGAATGGCTGAGGTTAGGCAGGCTGCGGCGGCTGCGGAAGTGGGGTGGGAGGGGATATGATGCGACATGGTGATTATGGCAGGGCGAGTAAGGGCAGGGCAGGGGGGCGCAGGTGGGGGGGGGGGGGGGGGGGGGGGAGGGGGAGGCTGAGGGCAGGAGATATGCTGCGACATGTACGGCAAGCATGGTGGCAATCCCGGGTCCCAGGTGACAGCAATCTGACAAGCTCACGTGGCGGAGATATGCGCGTGGCGGAGCTGCGGATGACGGAGCTACGCGCATGGCGGCGCGCGGGTCACGCTGTTTTCCCTCTACCGCGATCGCCAAGCTCGGTAACACAATTTCGCATGCAATGAGAGACGTTGAAACACGAGCTCGCGGCGGAATACCAACCCCCTCAACACCCCCCCCCCCCCCCCCCCCCCCACTCCCGTAATGAATTCGGCGCACCGGAATACCCGCGCCCTGCGGAGAATAGACGATTATGGGAGAGCCTAGGCGCAGAGTTGCACGATCAGTGAGAGAGGTGCAAGTTTTCCGTGTACGGACTTATTGGAGACCGGATACTGGTATTTGTTGGTGCAACCCTACGGTTTGCACTCGGCTTGTTGTCCGTGTGCGTGAATGTGTGTGTGTATGGAATGGTATGAGGGCATGGGATAATATATATTTCATGCTTATAATTGTGTGTGAATGTTGAGTCATGATGTCGAGTGTGTGTGTCGAGTCAATAGCGAGTTATCGCTAGACGCGTGTTACGCGGTCGTTTGTGTCTCGCGCGCGGTTTCTATTTTGTCGTGCGCGGTTTCTATTTTGTCCTGTGTCGAACGTTCGGCGTGTCGCAGGTGTGTGCAGCAGACCCATCAAGAACTCAAGGATGAGTTTGTGATGAAGAGCCCGAGCCTTGGTGTCAAGCCTCAAGTGATTTCGAAGCTCGCCAAAAAGGGTACACCTCAAGATATTGAAGATATTTACATTACTTTGTGTAGTGTAACATTTCACTTGGTGTAGGCCCTAGTGAAGGGTAGTTTCGAGACCCTTCGTGGTTGGGGACAGTGTGGCACTGTTCCACATCACTGTACCTCGGCTCTTGGGGTTTGTAGGAGCTGGGAGTCATTCCCAACTCGTAACTCTTCCTATCTTGTGTTCTAAGACTATAGTGGCTGCCATAGTACCGTTCGTTCAAACCGACGCTGTGTCGTCAATTCTTTATCAAATCGTGCAATCTAAATTGCTAATTGTAGACGACGTGAAGACGCTCCAGATCCAATTTGAATCAGGTCATTTGCAGCTGTGAGCAGAACGCTATCAACGTTTGAAGCCGCTGTGCAGAAATCCGTCTGTGCTCTCTATCTTTCGTTTTAGGCACATTCAAGCCTATTGTGACTATAACAAGTGGTATCAGAGCCCCTTGGAGCAGTTTCGACAATGTCTGGACCTGAGAAAAGGGGTGGCAGAGGTGCTGGTGGCAGTGGAGAAGCTCAAGCTCAAGGCCAACCCCGTGATTCAGCCATGGCGCCCATGCAACAAAGTCTTGGCCCACCTAGGGATGAGCCTAGGGTGTTTGGGCTTGACAAGTTCAACGGTGACAACTTTGCTGAATGGTCCTTCAAGATGGAGAACATCTTTGACCACTATGACCTGCTGGAGGTGATGGAAGGAACGGAGAAGCGCCCCGAGAACGACCCGGAGAAGAGCCCGTGGGTGCGGAAGAGCGCACAAGGCTATCTCTTACTTGGGCAAGCGTTGGGGAGCAGTCAGATCCGTCACATCAAGCCATTCCAGCGTGAACCAGAGAAAGGACCAAAGGCATGGGCTGCTCTCAAGGGTGTACATGCTCCTGCAACAGCGGTGGTAGCGGTGGTGTTGGAACGGCAAATGGCGGCACTACGAATTGAAGAAGACGAAGCGGTTGAAGAAGGGGTGCAGAAATTCTTCGACTTGTTGACGCGGCTTGAGGGAGCTGATTTGAACTACAGTGAGCTCCAAAAGAAGACCAAGTTGCTGGCCTTACTCCCAGAGTCATGGTCCTCGCTCATCATCAACCTTAATCGCGACTTGCCCCGCCTCTCGCTTGAAGACGTGAAGCGAGCTATCCTTCAAGAGGATTTCCGCCGCCGTGAGTTGGCGAGTGCGGATGGCGCTGGGGCAGCGAGCATCGGCCGTGGATATGGTCGAGGAAGAGGCAGAGGACGACGGGGAGGAAGGTTTGGTGGCAGCAGCTTCGGCGGAGGCCGCGGGAGTGGCGGTTACGGCAGCGACGACAAGAGCTACGGACGCGGTCGCGGCCGATTCGACGGCGAGTGTCACTATTGCCACAAGAGCGGACACATGTGGCGCGACTGCTACAAACTCCC